TACCGCTCTCTCTTCATATTTCATTCTGTCATACCTAGATTTCAAAATAATATCAAAAGAAAGTAAAGAAAAAAAAAGGGAAAACAAAAGTGCCAGGGAAAAACAGTGAACACTCAACTCAAAAAAATAGGAGACTTCACAATTATCTGGTCATTTTGATATTTCTCAGAGGGGTGAACTAAATAATTAAATTTAATTTTGGTGTCTTAAAGAAACCAATATGCTTACTTAACGGGATCAATTAAGAAGATAACATCTAAACTTCTTCATTTACAACTGATAGAGTAAATCAACTACTCATTGTAAACAATTCCCTGGTTCAGATTATGCAAACAATTCCCTGGTTCAGATTATATAGAATAAAGCTCGTGAGATTTACCTGTCTCGTCTTGCATTTAGAACTGAAGACTGTCCATTCACTATGGAATGATGAGTTATTGGTGGTGATGCTTTGGAAGTGGTGGAGGAGGTAGTCGAGGAGGAATTGTTAGTAGTGAGGTCTAGCCCTCCATGTTTAATGCCATTGTCTTCCATACTGTGAACTCCAGTCACTTCTTTCCATAACTGCTGAATCTCAGCAGGACTTAAGCCAGCTATAAAATGAAAGAAAGCTTCATTAACATAACAAGGTAAAGTTTATATAATGAGCTTTGTGTTATTAATAGATTAATACCAACAACAGTGATGTTACCTGCATAAATTAATATGCAACAAAAAATCACTTTTACACTATCAGCACCAAAGCTTTTGTCTTGAAAAAAATCATTTATTTTCGAAAGAGTACCAATTTGGGAATAGTATGAGGAATACTGCCATATGAAATAACTGAGAATATTATCAAGCATTAAAAAATCTCTGCATGTTCCATTTAAAAACTGAACTAGGGCCAGGCATGGTGGCTCACGCCTGTAATCCCAGCACTCTGGGAGGCCGAGGTGGGCGAATCACTTGAGGCCAGGAGTTCAAGACCAGCCTGGTCAACATGGTGAAACCCTGTCTCTAGCAAAAATACAAAAATTAGCCAGGTGTGGTGGCGCACACCTGTAATCCCAGCTACTGGGGGTGTTGAGGCAGGAGAAATGTTTGAACCCGGGAGGCAGAAGTTGCAGTGAGCTAAGATTGTACCACTGCACTCCAGCCTGGGTGAGAGTGAGACCCTGTGTCAAAAAAAAAAAAAAAAAAAAAAAAAGAATAAATAATAAATAAATAAATAAAATAAAAAATTGAACTATTCAACTTTTAAGAGTAGCTTTTTACTTATTGCTAGTATTAAGGTTTTTTTATTTAAAAAAAAAATCAGTCAGGAACTGAAAGAGAAATAGATTTCAAAATAATATCAAAAGAAAGTAAAGAAAAAAAAAAGGGAAAACAAAAGTGCCAGGAAAAACAGTGAACACTCAACTCAAAAAAAATAGGAGACTTCACAATTATCTGTCATTTTGATATTTCTCAGAGGGGTGAACTAAATAATTAAATTTAATTTTGGTGTCTTAAAGAAACCAATATGCTTACTTAACGGGATCAATTAAGAAGATAACATCTAAACTTCTTCATTTACAACCTGATAGAGTAAATCAAACTACTCATTGTAAACAATTCCCTGGTTCAGATTATGCAATTTATTTGAATTATACAATAAAAATAGAAAAGCTAGATATAATCCTTTAGTTTTTTTTTTTTTTTTGAGACGGAGTCCTCTCTGTCACCCAGGCTGGAGTGCAGTGGCACAATCTCCACTCACTGCAACTCTGCCTCCCGGGTTCATGCCATTCTCCTGCTCCAGCTCCTGAGTAGCTGGGACTACAGGCTCCGCCACCACGCCCGGCTAATTTTTTGTATTTTTTGTAGAGACGGGGTTTCACCATGTTAGCCAGGATGGTCTTGATCTCCTGACCTCGTGATCCGCCGGTCTCGGCCTCCAAAGTGCTTGGGATTACAGGTGTGAGCTACCGCGCCCAGCCAATCCTTTAGTTTTTAACTATAAATTTGAAATAAAGTATTGAGAGACTATTGCTTACAGTATTTGACTTAAAAAATAGTCCTGTGTCTTAGTATATTTTTCATATACCTTGTGCTTTTTAATCCTCAGTACAAACTAATAGAGTTAGTATTATTAGTTTAAACAATTCATGGAAAAGGAAACAAACTAAGAGAGAAGTTCAAAACTATGTCCAAGATCACCCAGCTTCCACATGGTAAAGTTGTAATTTAAATCCAGGCAGTCTGGCTTGAGTACCTTTGCTCTTAAAATACTATAATAAGAAAATATTAAAACTACTGAATAAGTAAGTACTGGGAAAAATGAAGAGACTATTTACTATATTCTGGCATTTTACTAACTGCATTACATTTATAATCTTAGTTAACTTCTCTTGAGGTTAGAAATCATTATATTTTACAAGGAGGCTCAGAAAGATTAAATATTTTGCCCCAAATCACTCAATTTATGTTCAGTGAGCAGAATTCAAACTCAATGCTCTGTAGCTCCAAAATCTATGTTCTTAATTACTATGTGCATCTATAACATCTAATATAAAGATGAAAGTACAACTTAAACTACCTCTCCCAACCTAACACACGTCTACATTAGATACTATAATGATGTAAGAGATGTGTGGGGTGAAGCAGGTTTAAATAGGCGGGGGAGATGGGGCAAGATAACAGAATATGATGGTGAGAAGAATGAACTCTCTCACCCTAATCCCTGCAAATGGAAAAATCCCTGATCTAGATATCACTATATCTAAGTATTGGCAAGTAGCCAATAGCAACAGAAGAATTCTCACTGTTTCAAACATAACTTCTGGTCAAATTATTCATCACAGCATTAACTTTAAATTGCTATGCCTATCACAATTTCGCACAGGTAGTTTTACTGAAGGCTATCATTTCAGTGATTCTGACTCCTTGAGATTTTAAGACAAGCCCTGAGCCTAAAGGAAAAACAGGATAATTTGGGTTTCCAAAGTTACTACACACCATCTTTTTCCATAAAAATGAAAGTGGCTTTATAAAGAAAGGTTTGTCTGTTACATAGGAAACAACTTTTTAAATAAAGATCTATAATTATTGCTTTAACCCAGAATTCCGCAACTTTTCTGACTGTAACTTTTTGATTATCGGTTGGTGTTTATTAGGTGTCCCAAAAGGAAAACTTTATCAGCAAATCCTTTTTCATGACAGCATCAACATATCTTTTGCATGAGAACTTTCTCCATCTTACCAGCTGCCTCTCTGCTCTATTGTCATCTCTTGCCTGCATCACAGCTATAGCCTTCCCACTGTCTTCCTGCTATCACCTTGCCTTGAATATATGAATTTACTCTTCATGGAGCAGCCAAGTATTCTCTCTATAAATGTAAATTAGGTCATGTCGCTTTCCACGCAAGGCCTCCAAAGGCTTTTGAGAATACTTAGAGGAAAACAAAACAAGAAAACAACAACAAAAACACCCTTACTATGGCCTATGGGGCACCACACTTATTATCTGGCTCTTGCCTGTCTCTGATCTCATCTACCGCTCTCTCTTCATATTTCATTCTGTCATACCAGCATTCTGTTGCTTCTAAAATGTATCAAACATTTTCTCCCTTTCCAACCTTTGCTCTGGCTGTTCCTACAACCGATTCTTGGCTTCCTCCCTCCCTTCACTTAGATGGTTCAAAGTTTACCTCCTCTAAGTTTCCAACCACACTATCAACCCCTGCCCCTTCCCACCGTCCCTTCTAGCATTCCTTAGCTCCTCATCCTATTTTTTTTAAGATCATATATCAGTTTCTGAAACCATTTAATCTATCTATCTATCTATCTAGTCTACCTCTTGTTATCACCAGTCTCCCTCTAATACAATTGAAGTTTTATAAGAGTAGGAATTTCTTGTATTACTAGTATATCTCAACTGCCTTGAACAGTGCCTGGCATGTGCTCAATAAATATTTGTGGATTTCATTGATTATAATAGAGTCATACATTTCTTGAAGACATGTTGGTGCCCACATGGAAGTTTTGTGACTCTTAAAGGGCATACTCCATATGAATATTGCTACAATACAAGACTAATGTCTAGGAATTATATATGGCACTAGTTACTTCTAACATAGATTGAGTGGCTAACAACATTTTACATCTCAGTTAAAGGCTTAGATGGTTTTAGAGATTATACCAACTAATGATGTTACTAGTAATTCAGTTTTGGGATTTTATTAATAATTTAGTTATGTAAGTATCTACTTTCCTTCTAAAAGTAGATTTCTATGATATTATTCATTTGTACTGAAAATTAGTGATATCACCACGCTATTGCAATAAGGTAACAAATATTAGGCAGTTACTAGGCCCTCAATAAAGATTAGATGAATAAATGACCTGTTCAAATAATCCAAATAATGTTTCTTAATTAAAAACAGGAAGAAATAGTTTTAAAACATTATATAATAGATAAGAGGCAGAGAATAAAATAAGTCAAAAAGATTCATTTTAGCAGCAGCGGGTCCTCAAATGTCGGCATATTAGAATCACCTGGGCATATTTTAAAATCTCTAAGACCTTACCACAACCCACACCAATAAAACCACAATGTTAGAAGGGAAACACAGGCATTAGTAGTTTTTGAAGCTCCAGAGGTGATTCCAATGCACAGATAATTCTGGGGGTAAATTTTTAAAAAGAAAACTATTACCTTGCTCTTGGGACAAAGCTTTCAACCTAAAAATTGCTCAGCTCTTTTATATGCATACAAAACTATTTAGAAAATGTGAAACAACTAGCCAATCGATTTTGTATAATTTTGAAAGTTTTATGAGCTTTGAAGGCTTGATGGTTTGCAATAATTAATCTAGGTTATTTTTCAGGCAGTGATATAACAAGTTCAGTATTTCCAAAACAGTGCTCTATGGAACAGTAGTTTTATAAATGCTGTTAATCTAAGAGGTCCGTGGTCTCTATCTTGGAGACTTTATTATTCATGTAAAATAGTTCTGAGATGTGTAGTAACAAGGAAAACTTGAATCTCATTTTGAAGTCAGCGTTTTCCAATTATATTTGAGGAAGAAAAACCCAAGAAACTCTTTACAATTACACTAGTTTGTGTAAGTTTTAAATACCCGGTGTAAGTTTAGGAGTCACCAACTGATCCCTAGCCCATACCCCTCCCTAGTCTTTCTATTTGAAAATCCAATGTAACCTTATCCAGTTTCTTAAACTTTCCATGTTCAAAACTAAACTCCTGTTTATACAGTCCCCTCCCTCAACCCCAACTCAGTTCTCTTTAGAGTCTTCTTCGTCTCTGTTTTATTTAACTGATACTTACATAGTGCTTTTGATACGCCAGACATTCTTCTAAGTGCTTCACATATGATATCTAATCTAATACCCCGAACCATTATTATCATTACTATTGCTCTTATTATTCCTATGTTAGAGATGGGCACACTAAGGCAAAGAAAAGTTAAGTGCCTTGCTCTAGAGCTACTCTGTTGCAGAGCTTCCTCTCATTTTCAGGTCATTACTCATTAACCCTTTCCTCAGGACTCCTTCTGAGGGTCACCCCATTTTCCTATTGTTACTTAGGTTTTTCCTGTTCTTGCCTTCATTT